GGTGGACACCACTCAGCCAGTCTTCAGTTGCATAGTCCCTCCAGGGGAACCAGGTGAGCAGGAAGGCCAAGCTGTAGAACGGTGCACCATACAGAATGGACAGTCTTCGTAAAGAACAGCATTGTATGTTCGAGTTGTCCTGAAGGTAACCAAACAGCGGGTCGTTCAGTGCGTTCCAAATCATGTAGACCACCTGTGGGCCATAACAGATATTATGAAGCAGTTCAAACCCCACAGTCTAATTGATTCAAAAGCATTTTACCCTTGTTGTGAAATCTGATAGCAGCATATTATCCCTAGACCTGCATCATTCCACTAACTACCCGCTGCTAAGTAATAACAACCAAACATTTCTAGTGAGGAGATTTGCCACTTAATAACATATTCCAGCTTTGTCAAAAGCTAGAAAGTGCTCCTGAGTGAGTCCAAAATAAATAGGTTCCTGTGGAGCTGTTGTGCAAAATTATATATTGTGAAAGGTTCATTTCTTTTATACAGACAAATGCACTCATTTTCTCACACTTTCTTAGCATAAAATGTTCCAATCCTGTTGTTATATTGTTAAGCACTAAATTCCATTTATAGTTCTACTGCCTGAAACCTGTTTGCTGTGTAAAAACAGAAAGATACTGGTAAGTTCTTTTAATCTTTGTTTTGTTAATGGAAAATATCTTTTAACTTTCCAAAATTCCCACATGTTTAATATTTAGTTTTTTTGCCATTTAGCTCTATTCACTCCCATTCATTTAGGACTCATGGGGCCCTCTAGCTTTTAGCAGTCACATTTTTTGATACACTGGGAGACATAAGGTACTTGCAGGGCATTATAAGGCAAACTAGTTTTGGATTTGCCCCATTTTACCATCGCCACGACTGTAAGAGAAATCTGGCCTGGCAGTTTCTCTAGAATGAACCATTTCACATCAAACCACTCTGAATGACCCAATGACTCAAAGATCTATTTGTGCAGTAATTTTCAAATAGATTCAAAATTCAAAAATTGGTGGAATTCCCCTTCAGTCACATCTCTGCAGCTGAATTATACAGAAATGCTGACAAATTGGTGAACTTCCCCTTTAACACCCTTGATTGCAGAAGAAAAGCTGGACGTGCAAGTGTCCGCAAACGTTTTGCACATACACCGACCGGCCACTTCATGAAGTACATCTCCTTTTTCTACACTCATTGTCCATTTTATCAGCTCCTCTTACCATAAAGGTGCACTTTGTAGTTCTACAATTACAGACTGTAGTCCATCTGTTTCTCTGCATACTTTACCCTGTTCTTCAATAGTCAGGACCTCCACAGGACCACAATACAGTAGGTATTATTTGGTTGGTGGGTCATTCTCAGCACTGCAGTAACACTGATGTGGTGGTGGTGTGTTAGTGTGTGTTGCGCTGGTCTGAGTGGATCAGACAGTAGTTCCATTCTGTAGCGAACTCTAAATGGAGCTGCTGCACCCTTTAAGGTGGAACGCGGACATTCGAACAAGCAGCTCTGCAAATAAGATGTTGACTTCAGCTTCTTCTACATATTACAGGCTGCACCCCAGTGACCACAGCGCAGGTCTGAACACCTGTACCACCTTAAAGAAGCTGTTGGCTCACCTGAGACTGGTGGAAAGCTGCTTCTGATATTCTGTACTTGTTCAAGAAGAGTTTCACGTAATAGAAGCTAAAGATGCTGTTCATCATGCTGGACCCGAGCGTGGTCATGGAGTAAGCCACAGCGGCTGGATGTGCTGAGATTCTGAGGTGCTTCATGATGTTTTGCGAGCAGAAACCTATTTCCTGAGGATTTCCTACTGTCTAAAACATCTACTAACAATCTAAAGCTAGTCTAGATAAACAGATCGCTCCCTGCACCTTGACGAACTCGTTTCATTGTGTACGGAAGAAGGCGGGTTTAACCAGTCACGTGACCTACCAGTGCACAATTGGGTCTGTCTCAAACAGAAAACCGTGCCCTCGATATTGAGTGCACACTTCCACTTGTGCAATGATTATAGAAGCCCATTCTCTCCAGGCAGCTCTGATTGTGGAAGCAGTATGACAAAGCTATAACTTAGTATATTGAAAAAGTCTATCAAAATAGTGCCTTATTTTCACCTACTATGTTAAAATAGTGACTTTGGGACTCGGACACAGCCTCAGTTTTTAAGTCTGTTTAGCTAAGCTTTTGGTAATTAGCTTTTCCTGTTAATTAAAGGGTGCAGATTTTGGGGGGTTCATTGACATAGAGTACTACGGTGACTGGGAGTGTTGGTGCTGTTTTCCTGCTGCTCTCACGCCTTCACTGTAATACTAACACTGTTAGAGCTTCTCTCTGTTTCACTCTCTTAACACTGTATACTGTATTCAGTCTGTCCACACCGTGCGGTCTGATGCTGTTGCTTCATCTGCCACTACTCGCCTGTTTCCCGGACCAGTCTGACCTCCATGGAGCTTCCTCCTGTACAACACTGTGCAAACCTCACCTGCATGAACTGACCCTCCTGACGATGCTGCCGCATTTTTTTTAATCATAGATATTACTACTCCTGCTTTTCCTTTCTTTCCATGTCTTTTATTAATCTCATTTTCTGCTGTTATTGTTTGCTATCCGGAGTCAACCAGAGGAGGATGGGTTCCTCTTTTGAGTCTTGGTTCCTCTCAAGGTTTCTTTCTCTTACTCTTAGGGAGTTTTTCCTTGCCACTGTCGCCACTGACTTGGTCACTGCAGGCTTGGACCCGGATTTTGTTTTTCTGTAAAACTGCTTTGTGAGAACACCTGTTGTAAAAAGCGCTATATAAATAAACTTTGACTTGACTCGACTCGACTTATTTTTTCGTGCATGTAATTTCTTTTTTCCTTAAAGCAGGCATCTCAAACTGCAGACACTCTGGGCCAAAATGCTGTGGAGATTAGCATTTACCCTCATCTGATGCTCTGAATTCAGTTCATGAAGGCCTTGCTAATTATCTGATGAGCTGAATCAGGTGTGTTTAATGAGGCAGTGTGCTGAAGTCTGCAGTGTTGTGGCCCACAAGGACTGGAGTCTGACATGTGCCTTAATGCCAAGCCATGTAAGTTTTGGAAACATGTAATTACACGTAACATACAGAAGAACATTTTATAACGTCAGTTGTGCTTCAGGCACCTTCTCCAAGCAAATGAATAAGATGATTGAAGGTATTCAAACAGAACTTAGTGAAGGACGTGAACGAATTATCTACTATTATCATCATATCTTTATCAGTATAATGTTAATTTTGCATTTGAGACCTTAACATTGACACAGACCTTCTTTTTGAGCCTGTGCATGTAATGTTAAAACATAAAGACAGATGAAGTAGTCTGCTAAACTCATATACTTTTAAATTACTATTTCAAACTTTACAGGGCGACTCACAGCAGTATGTGGACACTATGTTTTTAGCAAGGTTTTTCTCTTAATTCAGTAATGCTACCTCTTCCAGTTTAAAAAAAAAACAGTGCAGCTTTAAAATTTTTGGCTATATATGAATATATATTTAAAGGTGATATATATGACATTTTAAACAGTGACTGCCCACACAGCATGCATGTACCACAAGCTGATGCACTGGAACGTAGTCCAGCTACTGCACATGTTAAGGCGTTTTGAACAAGAAGCTGACGAAAAGAAGCTGTTTTCAGCTTCATTGAGAGTTGAAATGCATGAAAAGGGATGAGGAGGTCGTTCCTGCTGGACAGGTGGGTAACATTAACTCATTGTTGCTGTTTCACAGAATCAATAGGTCAGTATTGTTTTGTTCTGTTTGTGAATGTTTATGATAGCAACTGGTTAGCTTCACAGCAGCAACTGTAACGACAGTTTGCCAATCCACTACTGAGCTAACGTTAGCTACATTACTTGTTGTGTCATTGTTCACTCTGTCATGTCAGAGCATTTATCTGAACAAAGTTTGCGAAGGGTTTTATGGCCACAACAATCTAACAGAGCATGTTGTCCTGGGCAATGCGCATCCATGAATTTGGGGGGTGGAGCTTCTGAAGGAGCACTGAAGGGAGGGGTGTGTTTGCTTTGCGGTTGAGTTCAATCATCAGCAGTCATTCTCAAGAATCATATAGCGCTCCTTCAAATTTAACAAAATAAATCATTTCATTATTTCAATGTAGTAAGTTAAAAAAAATGTAATTGTGATGTTATTTTTATTATTAACTGTTGTGTTTTGTCAGCCCAATTTATTACTGTGTAAACATGTGACCAAAATTATTATTATTATTATCATTATTATTGTTGTTGTTGTTGTTTAAAAAATCCCCTTACTGTAACAGAATGTGCACTCTGTAGAACATCTTGGTAAGTCAAGACTAAAACAGGACTAAATTTAAAACAGGCACCCTACGGAGCCCTGCTGGTGACATCCTGTGTAAATAAAAACTTGATTTAGTAAGGCACGGGGATAAGGTAATTAAGTCATGACCATGGGGGAACAAGATCCTAATGCGTGGCCCGACTTAGTAAGGCATGATCTCATCCCCATGCCTTACTAAGTTGTGGCCACGACTTAATAATCTTATTCCCACACATTAGGATCTCATTCCCACGCGTTAATACGGCGTGGCCACGCATTGTTTTTATTTATACGAGATGTCACCAGCAGGGCTCCGTAGGCACCATAACCTGGAACACGACTTGCTCCCTTCATACCTTTCAGTGTACTGTCTGTGTAGGCAGCACGTTGCCGTTCAGGACGCACCCAAAAGGCCCTGAACAATAACTAGTTTCTGCCCCGCCCTCTTCCTCCTCATTGGCCGATGCTGGTGTCAATCAGGCGGCCGCTCTGCTTGTTATCGTGCGCGGTGTCTGCCGCCCTGCTGAGAGGAGTGAATGCTGAGTTTGCCACGTTGCTGCTGATGCGGACACACAGACACAGAGCAGCAGCAGCAGCAGCAGCAGGAGGAGGAGGAGGAAGGAATGTAGTTCTCAGACAAAAGGGAGCCACTAACTGAACTCAGAGGAGCGGGGCTGATACCTTTTTCACTCGGCGTGTGTCCTCAAACCGAGCCAAAATGCTTACAGATATGATAGTGGAAGAGGGATTTGAACATAACGAAGAGGAGCTGTGGTACAGCAGGAAGGATTTGGAGCAGGGTAAGAATCTCGGGATATCCTGTGTATATGCCGTCATTGGGATTCACAATAATAGCGGTATTGTAATACACTACATTCAGTAGGACGGTTGAGTTGGTTGTTCTAGGCTAAATGCTAGTTTTCTCACAGGGAAGGAAGAATATTTATCTTGTTATTTAAAAAAAAAAACACCCGTTATATATAACGAGGTTGAATTTGGCTTCACATTCGCCAACTTCTTGTTCGAATTTTCCCGTTCCACCTTAAATTAGGCGCCAGTATGTAACTGCTGCGCTATTTAAGGTGGAACGGGGAAATTCGAACGCGAAGCCGGCGAATAAGAAGCTGAGTTCAGCTTTGCTCGTGTTTCTGTGTCCCTTAATAAAAAATTAGTGAAATTTTAGAGGCGTAGTGAAATATTAGCGTGTTTTTTATAATTTCTTATTGTTTAATAGTCCTCACATTCGCTGTGTTACACTATAGTAGTGATTTGCTGTTGGCTGCTCTTCTCCTAAAGCGACGACATAGTCGTGTCAGCTGAAGGTCACGCCCATAACGCCCATAGAGGCCCCTTTAAAGCTGTAAATGTGGATGCTGCATTGAGAGCTGATGCAGTGGACCAGCATAAATGATCTACTTCTACTAATCTCACTCATTTGTAACAATGTTTCTGCGTTATATTCGTGCTGGTTAGGTTTTAAGGCAATAGCTTAAGTTGATGAATTGTAGTTAATTCATTTTTGTAGTTTATCCTAAATGTTCACACTGTGGTAAGAATTTGCCAGCTGCTTAAAAAGAATTGTAATGGGTTGCCACGTCCTACAGAGTGACCACATGAGCTACTTGCTGTCCTTATTCTTGGATAAGACTCCTGTGACTCACTGGTTGACATTATCTGACCCACAGGATGTCCTGAGCCTTGCACTTATGCCGTGCTTAATGTTTACAGTTCTGTCTTTTGTGTGCGTGTTTCTGAGACAGATTTACATTTGGCCGCGCAGCTGGGAAAGACTCTGCTGGACCGGAACCATGAGCTTGAGCAGGGGCTTCAGCAGATGTACTCCACCAACCAGGAGCAGCTGCAGGAGATCGAGGTTACATTCCCCTCCAGCTCTGTTCTCTAGTTTCTAACTGTTTCTTGGCTGGGATCGGCCATGAGGGGATAACTGGGAGAGCCTGTGTGTTCGTGCTTCACCCTGAATGGTTGTAGTTTTTGAAAGGCGACCAAGAAAGTGAAGTCTTGAAGGAAAGAAGCCTCGTTCAGTCTCAAAAAGACATGTTTTTGACAATTTACATCTGGAATTGGTAGCCACAGGAATGGAATTAGTGGAATTAATGGAATACAAAAGGGATAATCGGGACGGTAGTTTCATTGCGATATTAAATAATTGTAAAAGTCATTTTTTAGAGTATTGCCCTGCTAGAGTCCATAGGGGTTTTGAAGGGATGCTCTGATCTGGGATTGTGGGCCGATGCCAATATCCAGTGTGTTTCATGTGCACATCTGCCATTGATGACACACAAGCATTTGTAAAATGTAGAAGCAGAATTTGCATTTCAGAGAAATATAACAATTATTTCTGTAAGGTCGCAAATGCAGTAAAATGATTTTTAGTACAGTAACCAAAGTGTCACTTGAACAGTTTCCACTTTTGAAGTACAGGAAATAACATCATCAAATATCAGTTTGAAATATCAGTCAAATTTAAACATCTGTCTGATAATTGCTTGTTTTTTCAAGTAAATATTATGTCAATATGATTACAATATCTTTGAGCACCCATGTTTTTTTTTTTTTTCCTCTTTTTTTAATCTGTCACGGTCTTTAGTTGAGAACCAAAGTTCTCCTCAACACCTCTCTCTCTCTCTCTCTCTCTCTCTCTCTCTCTCTCTCTCTCTCTCTCTCTCTCTCTCTCTCTCTCTCTCTCTCCTCTTTTCCTTATCGTTACGTCATCTATTATCTACTTTTGCACTTAAAGGTGCTGTTTTAGGCCTAGAGAGAGAGATTATTGCTATATTTAATATCTGTTTGCAGCTTTTCTCTTGTATGTATTATCAGTTTTTATTTGCTTAACATTTAGTTTTTTTAGTTTTATGCAAGGGCAAAAAATGCTGACCAAGTGTTTTTCACATAAAAACATGGCTAATTTCAGGAATATAAATATCTGTACAGTACTGTGCAAAATTCTGCAACCACTTGTCACTTATTTAAATAATTGACATAATTAATTAATTGCAAAATCCTTAATTTTTGTCTATTTCCTTTTCTTCCTAGGTGCTTCTCAAAAACTACCTTTCAGACCCATGGTTGTGTTCTCATAGTGGAGCTTGATTTTCTGCTCTCTATCAAAGATGAAAGCTTTAGGTGCTGTTTATCTGGTGGGGACAGTTTTAATGGCCTGCCAGCTTTTGCACGGTTGTTAGGAGACACAGTTCACTCCATATGTTTAATAATTTATTTTTTATAAATATTTTTTTAACTCCCTTTTTTAAACTTTGTTTCCTTTGAATGTCCCCTTCCTTACGAAAGTGGATTATCTTATATGTAATCTTCTCAGAAATGTCTCCGGAAAAGTGAAGAACTTTAAATTAATAACTTGTACTTTGTGTGAAAGTGGCTCATTAGCTTAAATAAGTTTGGGCCAGAGCGTGAAGTGTTTACCACTCTCGTTCTTGTATCCACCTATCCGTAGGATATTCTCTCTGCCTCGTTTCCTTCTGTTTGCTATATTAAACTTGTGTGTACTTTCGTCTGGTGGGAATGGAGTAAACACCAGAGGATTTCCTTCTCTCCTGCTCTCTCTCTCTCTCTCTCCCTCTGTCTCTCTACACCTCTCTCTACCTCTCTCTACCTCCATCCTGCCTCCTGTCAGGCCACTGCATGGGTCAGCGAGAGCTGCCAGTGATTCTTACCTGCGTTTGTGTTTGGCACCAGGCCAGCTGTGAGATAAGGCCTTAGCCGAGCTCAGTGAATGGAAATTTCCCTTAGCTCTGATATAACCTCTGCTCTTAAGACCTGCATTGTTTTTGCCCTTCTCGCTCTGTCTACCTATGAGGAAGTGAGGCAGAAAAAAAACACAGCTAAATGCTCTGAGGTCACAGGGTTATAGTTTAAACAGCAGGAACATTGTCCCTTTTTCCATGTTTGCATGTATGCAAGTTGTTTATGTGGAATTGATTTGGCTAGTTGGAAGCCAAATTCCAATAAGTTATATGCTACATTTTATTTTGTTATGCCACTAAGTTGTGCTTCTGAGGGCAGTGTTGAAATCTGATTATGTAGAAAGAATTAGAGTTAGATTGGCGTTGTCACAGGATGCAGTTGTGAAATTCTCTTGACGTAACTGGGTTCCGCTGAACCAAATTTATTATAAACCAAGATTATGTTTCATTCAGACTCCACTCTTAAAAATAAAGGCCCGAAGCCTATTAAGACTGTGAAATTTTAGCTGACAATTAACTGCCATATAAATAATTGCAATAAACAATGTCTTTTTTTGATAAAAGTATGCAGTTATTAAAGTGCAAACCTAAAGTCGGCAGCTCAAGTAAACAAACACTACTCACTGGCACCCTCTATAGGTGTCATAGCACCACTTAGAAGTTAGAACTTTTTTTTCCATAAGATCCATGGTGTGTCTCAATAAAAATAAAAGTGTTTTCTGCGTGGTGTTTTTCTTGTTTGTTTTTGTTTTGTTTTATTTTGTTTTTTTACATGGAATTTGTTTCATATCTACTGATTAAAACAAATTCACATTCTGTTTGTGGCAAAGAACTAGAACCATTCAGTTTGGCAAAAATATTTAAGAGTAAGAATGTTTTGTAAATCTAGATGAGCTGTGATGGTGTTTTAGCAGTTCTTCTTTTGAAGATTAAAATACAGGACAGATATCTGATTGACATTGCTTGTGTCTGTGTCTTGCTCAGTACCTGACCAAGCAGGTGGAGCTCCTGAGGCAGATGAATGACCAGCATGCTAAAATGTACGAACAGCTGGACACGGCGGCGCGAGATCTGGAGATGACTAACCACAGTCTGGTGCTGGACAACCGCACGGCCCAGGGAAAGATTCAGAGGTGAGCCTCCTAGACCGAAGCCAACTAGTAGTGGAAGAGCCTTTGGAGCAGTTTTCATCTAGTGCTGGACAGCCGTACTATTTGATGTTCAACGTTTTTCTTGCTGTAACTCATGGGATGAGTATGAAGGTCTTTATGAGCTATGAGGTGTCATGGATCGGGGAGAACATTAAATGTGCAGAGCTGTCACCCTTGGATTCATTAGTTGCACGCTAACTGGTTCAGTAAAGTAGCCACAGCCTGATTACAGAGCACTTTTATTTATCTTAATTTGCCTTTGTGTTGAGCCCAAAGTTAGCTTACCCACCCAGTAATCTGGCTCTGTAGTACAACCTGATATTTACAGCACTTGCTTTGGAAAATTCTTCTTATTCATCACTTCTGCTGTCTGGATGACATTTTTAGCATCCTGAGATCAGGGTGTCATGATACAGTCAACGGCAAACTTAAATATGACATTTTTTGCATAATTTCTGCTTATTTGCTGAGTCTAATATATTCAAAGAAATATCAAATATAAAATGTTCTATGATTTTTGCAACTTTTTTTCCAATCTGTTAATTGTCACCAAATAAACAGTAACTATCCTTTAAAATGTGCAGAATTGTCATCTCTGTAGAGGATGGATTAACTTATTTTCAGGGAGAAAATCAACAAAGTATAATTTGTCCAACCTTTTGCATATAACTAAGCGTGATCTAATTGTATGCGTATGTCTATGCCTGAGTAGATAGATATAAACATTGACCCTGTAGGAAATTGACCTGCCTATGCTTTGCCCACAACTGTGTTTGTAGTTACTGCTTAACATAAAGTAAAATCATAGTTGTAATTCAGTTTTGCTTGAAATATGTAAATTATTCAAACTGTTGTGTTACAGTCTTTAGAGCTGCTACATAACACTCGGTATGTCCAGCCTAGTAACCTTGTTCAACCTTGTCCAACAATAGCTAGTACAAATAAATTATTTCAACATGTACTGTAAACAGAGCTGTTGTAATAGGTAGCCATGTTGCGCAGTGCTGGAATGAATGGGCAATGATGGTATGAGGAAGGTGATGAGGCCAATATGTATATCACAATACTTGACAATTTTATATTAATGATATTTTATTTTTGAGGTTGACAGATTGCAGTAGCTTTGCCCATTTAAAAAAATACTACAAATAATACTATGCATTAAATAATTATTTTCTTTTCTTTTTTTTTTCTTCAGTCTAACCGAGACCATCGACAGCCTGCAGGTTCATATGGAGAGTCTGCAGAAGCAGGTGGATGAGCTGAAGGCCGCACAGTGCGAGCGGTCCAGGAAAGAACGTGCTGAAGCACGCCGAAGCCTGGCAGCCCAGAGCATCTCCTGCCTGAAAGAGCTCTACGATCTGCACCAGGACACGTGAGTGTGCACACACCGCCATGCATATTTCTACCACTCACATTAACAGCCAAGCCGTCCTGCTCCAACATGCTGGTGAAGGGCGCCTACGTGGCTGAATCTCATCCAGATTTCCATCTTGCCCAGTTTCCGCTTAAGATCTACTGTATAAATAAAGATGTTAACATCAACAGAGTTAATTAAAAATAAAGAAAAAATAAATAATTAGGGTTATCTTACTCAGAAAGCTTAAGTTGCTTAGCTTTCCTTAGTTTGCTGTTATGGTTGTGTACTGGAATTACGAGGCTAATGCAGCTAACAAGGAATAGAGGCTTATGTCCAACAATTGGTGTTGTGCAAACTGCCTAAGTCATCGTAGACTTGCCTCAAATTGCGTCAGTTGCTCAGTTATCTCAAAGCGGCTGCTGTTACTGGTTTAACCTATACAGCATACGTTTGGCCAGTTTCTGATCAGAGGTTTCCAAACATTTCAAAAGTGTAGACCAATGTGAAGTGCACGGACTGGTAGTAGAGTGTGAGATGGGGCGGGTTAAGATGTGGTGTTGATGCCACAACACATGATTAGCCTATGCAAGGCCACCAAACAATAATGCCCCACTATCCTCTGTTTTTGTTCATGATTGTGGTGGAAGAGCTGCTGCACTGTTTGCTGCACGCACCTGTTTTAAAAAGCTACTTCGCTAAAAATAGAAGGGTTTGCGTACATCACTTTGAACTGGTTGCATTTTACAAATGCGCTGTATGTTATGGGAGGATAAACCAGCAGACATTCCCTAAAGTGGTAGATATTAGATGATTTTTTTTTTTTTGTTTTATATTTCACCCCATGTTTTCATTAGCAGTTCTTTTCTGACATGTGGATGCCCTGTCATCATATTTCTGATTCAGTGATGCTTTTATTTTTAAATCTTGATATTGTTTTGGTTCTTGTCTTCGATGTTTTTTTTTTTTGTGTGTTTACAGCCCCAAAAAATAAATATGGAAAAAAATTTGATATTAGTTACACTAATGATGCCATTAATCAATTTCATGAATTGCTTTAATGAAACTGCAAAACTGTCCACACAGTTTTAATCAAATTCTGAAAGATAAATTGTCTTGTATAGTTAAACATTTAGCAGGCTCTGTAGCAAACTCTTTTAAAAGACTTTCACTCGTCTTTGAAAGCACATAAACAAAGCTGGATTCCTGTGCTGGTGCTGTGAATGTAAACACTTATGAATTTTAAACTTGGGAGGGTGGGCCTTACGGTCAAAGTGATGATTCATACAGGAACTGTTTTACACACACAGTTCAGTCTCTGTTTTTATTGTAATGTTCTGCGAGCTTTGAGATTGAACATTGAAGCAAGAGAAGGCTTATTATGCAAAGAGCAGGCAAAGGGGAAACGGGCTGGGGAGGAGCAGCTGTACCGTCTGGAGTTGTCGAATACCTCTACAGGGGGGCTAGCTCATGTATGACCTCTCTGGCCTGCTCACTGACCTGTCCTGATGCATTAGTGCCTGCCTGCTGAGTGTGCATCTTAAGGACATTGAAAACCAGACACCATAATCTGCTTTGACTTCCCTTCCATAATCCACTAACCAATAATCTGATCTGCCTTTGCCGTTAGAGAGGTTAAGATGTAAACAAACATGCACCGGTATGTAACAGGCCTGGTTACGGTTGGCAACTGGTGTTCTTAGTTTTATCCACTATAAGCAAAGCTAAGAATTCTTAGTGACTACTTCTGGATTCTCTTAAAACAAAACACTGTAAAGGAGAGCAGGTCACAATCTAACATGGGGTAAAATGTGACATTTTTAGTAGTTAAATCCAAAAAGAACCTGATTTTGGTTGTTATTGTCTCAGATATTTCTTGAGATTTGTCATGAAGAGCTGTTTTCTATCATAAAAGTACCTTTTTTCCATGAGTGATTTTTTTTTTTTTAAGCACTAAGCTTTGTGTCACAGAATTTACACATATATTATTTTAATCTCACTCTTGGTGACCAGATTTTAATTTGTACTACTATATGGAATATATGTTTTGAAGTGTGTGATTAACTCACAGCAAGAGTTAGCCGGGCTAAAGGACAGCCTCCTCATGGCAGGGTTAGTTTCAACACTGATATTAAATCTAAGTCTCCCTTAGTAACGTATAGGGGTCAAGCGCTGTTCTGCTTTGGTCAAAAAATGTGCCGGTGTTTGACACACTCACTTTAACATATCATATTTATTTTGATGCATATATTTTAACATATTTGGTTTGAAAAACATCTGGTCCAAGCAACATAGACTTTACTAGACTAGCTCTCAGTCTGTTAGCATTTAGCCCTCATTGGTAGAAGCGATGTGTATGTGTATCTTAAAAATAACAATAATTATAATAATAAATTTAAAATGTTTAGCAGTAATACCAGCAATAACAGAATTTCACAGTAGGAAGTCTGGAGTACCCCTCATCCAGAAGGCATTCCATAAAAAGGCCAACTATATACTACATTTTTATTATGGTTTTGGTTTATGACCTTTGTGTGGTCGTATGTGCCAAAAATAGTCACCGTTGATTTTTATATGACCATGACCAACCTGTCTTTGCCCCTAGAACTAAGCAGGCTATTTTTTGTTGTTATTTTTGTTTTTGTCCCTTTATGACTGATATATGCTGTGACCTCATCATTATTTAAATTATTTGAATCATCATTAAAATTAAAAACGGGCTGTGCTTAGTGTCGTATATGGAGTGTTTGGACTGGAAAGTCAGTGGTACATTTGAAACCTTAACAGTGTTTACTTCATTTAAAAAAAGCATGTGATCTTTTGATTGAGAAACTGGAATATCAACTTGTATGGACCTCTAAAAATCATGGAGTCATTCTGTAGTCGGTATCATGCCCATATGAGGAATTCTGAGTCTAAGCTGGTTTTCTCTATAGGAAAAACGAATGGCATTTTCGAAAAATCGCTGCCATCACACACGAAAATGTTACAAAGCCAGTACGTTTCGTCTGTATACCCCCAAATCTCAAGGAGGCTAAAACGCCTCGTCACTAAATGTACTAATAATATAACTGTAGTTTGGTGGGGAGGACCATGACAGAAGCCCCTCCTACATCCACTCTAACATCCTGTAAATTTCCCATTTGCACCACATCACCATCTCATCTTCCCACTGTTTCTCAGTTCTAAGGGTCAGTCCTACCTCTGTTCATCAGAAAGGAGGGGTCTGGCCTTCTAGCTCAAAACAGAAGCCGCCCAGTCTTAAAGACTTCAGTCTTTTATCATACCTGAAATTATATGTTGAAGGCATTGATTCTGAAATCGTAAACTATACTTTAAAAGTATTATCAAACATCAGCTTCTCAAAGTTTAGACTACCTACTGCCAAAGCAACTTAACTACCATATGTGGCAAAGCTTGGGGGTATTTGGTGATGATAGCCAGTCTTATGATGTGTTCTCTTTCATGCAGCAGTATTTGTAATTCAACTATTTAACAGCCTCTTAATTCAGTGGAACCAATGATGTTTGGGGAAAACAGCACGGTGTAGTGACTTTGGAACATTTTTGTTCCAGAAATCTGATTTAAATGCATCCTCACTGACACAGCCTGTAGCTCATGTTCCCTTTGTTGCTCTGCAGACGGCTGAGCTGTGAGAGCCTGAGCTCGGAGCATGTGTGGCAGGCTCTGGATGCCAGGCAGATGGTGGAAGAGGAGAACGCCTCCCTTCAGAGCACCCTGCGGACCCTGCAGGCTCAGCTGGTGAGCGAGCGTGAGCAGCGGGAGGCCGCAGAGCGGGCCGCTGAACTGACGGACCAGGAGAACAGGGTGCTGGAGCACCGGGCCACTCTGCTGGAGGGGGCACAGCGCCGTCTGGCCGAGCTGGAGGCCGAGGTAGAGGAGCTGCGGCTGCTGTGGCGCTCAGAAGCCCCCAGCACCAGGCCCACAGACGCCCTGCTGCCAGACAGCGTCTTCTTCCCTTCAGAGGAGAAGGTGAAGCCAGAGGAGGAGGAGAAGGAAGAGGAGGAGCCGGTCCCGGAGAGACGACGCTGTAGTAGTGAGAGTTACGTCCGGGGCACATGGGCCGAGGAGCTGCGGCGGGGGCATGATCGCACGTGCGTGCGGCGAACAGAGGTGGGGCTGCAGCTAATGATTATTTCTATAATCAATTGATCTATCAGCTGTTTGATTATTTGAATAATCCATTTTACCTTCTGCTGTTTAATCTCACAGTTGTTTTTATAATCAATTACTCTACCAAGTAGTAATTCAAGCTAGTATCAACTAGCTTGAATTTTTTGTGCCTCCTGCTGTGTCTTCTATCTAATGATTGATTGATGATTGGTTAATTGATAAGATATTGACTGTATTGCCCCCAGTACTTCTAGTGTACTACAGTTTGTCGGAATGATGCATGAACATTGCAAATTAAATTTAAAGGGGCGTCTTAATGGAAACTGTATTTTCCTTTTTTTTCCTAAATTAGAGTTGCATGCATCTGTAGGCACTTTTAAAATTGCAAAACATACTATTTCCTCCCCATTTATATCATCTAAATATGAAGAGTCTCTTTACAAAATGATAAATATCCATATGTCTGTATCTATATATTTGTAGCATGAATGTAAATATGTTTGAAAACAGCTGATGTTTACGCACTTCGTCAAAAATGGCCTTTTTATTTCTCTGTTAAAGGTGATATTAATCATTAATATAGCACTGATATTTCTTGTATGTGTAAAGTTCACTCCCAGCAATGTCTATCATGAAAAAACAAAATCCTGAAAGTGATGTTTAAAGTGATGCTTTTTGTGGAAAAACTGCAAAAAAATTGTTTTTAATTAATTGTTTTTGTGATGTCAAGAAAACCAAGGCACATTAGTTACATATAGTCTGTGGTAGTTTAGCCCCGCACATTTATGTTGAAGTTGTAAGGAGGGTTTCAGTCTGGACTAGAGCTTTAATCTAGCCTGAAATTTTGGTCTTAAATTTATTATTAAAATAAACTTTGGTCTAAAATTCAGTTTTAACAAATTTATTTGTCATATAATACTTTTTTGACCAATTTTTTTTAGTCAGGATAAACTTCCTATACTGCGCTACGCTAATAAAGCAAGATGTTTGTCTTCACCTGTTTAATCCTAGAACTCAATTTCTTTGCACAGAACATCTAACTTATATAAAAAATAAACATATATAAAAATATGTTTGACCAAAACTGTTCAGCGATCTGTACTAAACTGTGCTCTCCTGAATTGATTGCCATATATGTCTCGTTTACTAATGAGCGTGTACCTTGGTGCTGAGTATGTTAGCGTGCCAGATTAAAAACTCTTGTAAGGTAATGAAAGCAGGAAGGATGAATAAACTAAAGCAGGGAGAATTCAAGGTGAAATCCTTTGAAAGGGGGAGGCGGGCTGTAAGAACCTGAATGTGAAATTTAAACCCGACCCAAGCCTCACACATTTGGAAAATGACGTCTGAACCTGACGTGAACAGTCTGTTCCTGTCTGGTTTGGACAATTATTTTAAACTCTAGTTTGGACTGCTTTTTTTAAAGAAACACAATACAGGACAGTCAGTCAGTGCAGAGATCATTAACATATATCGATCTTAAAGGCACAGTACACACACACACAAAATCTGTTTAACTGTAAGCAATAAATGAAGCTGGAAAATGGTCCTATAAAAAGAATTGCGTTTTTTATATATATATATATATATATATATATATATATATAATATCTGTAAGTAAACGATGCACCAGCTTTTTTCCATAACCAGTGCTATTAGTGGCTAATTGATGTGCATTGTTCGTTTTAGGGACATTCGCAGGCTGTGAGGCAGCGTGGGATATCTCTGCTGAATGAGGTTGACGCTCAGTACAGCGCGCTGCAGGTTAAGTATGAGGAGCTGTTGCGCCGCTGTCAGCGCGGAGCCGATGGCCTCAGCCACAAGGCCGTTCAGACGCCTGCCTCACGCCGGTCCAGCTCCGTGACTACTGTCACCACGGCGACCGCATCCATGACGGTGGAATCAGGCTGCCCCGCAGATGAGCTGCACCAGCCAGAGTACAAGACCCTTTTTAAGGAGATCTTCACCTGCATCCAGAAAACCAAAGAGGACCTGAGTGAGAACAGGGCCACACTGAGTCAGCAGCAGTAGTGGAAGCTCCACTATTGTTGCAGATAGCAGTATTCTTAATAACCCCCATTCATTCTAATGATCGGGGGCTTTGCACTTACCTCGCTTTGTGTAAATTGGATGAAGCAGGTGTTGAGGAGCTCGTGAAAGCTGGTCTTATGAGACATCGTAAGGTGCTGTGGTTTTTGCACTATGACACCTGTGCCTGTATTCAGCATACAGTAACCATAATACATACCGTCCATAATTAACAGTGCAGAGTCGTTCGGCTAGTATTTTATACAACACCCTTTTCTGATAAAGTCCAGTCATTTGTACCCATATGGACCTCTGAGATTAGCCATGCATGAGAGCGACACCTGATTGTAGCCCTGCTTTGATCTGCTGCTGGTTGTAGAGCAATCTGGCCTGCTTGTTTGTAGTTAGACGAGAAGCTAACTCTTTTTTCCTCTTTTACTTCTTAAATATTTGCCAGGGTAGTCTTGAATATTATAATGTAGGCCGGCTCCTAGCAGTTAGTAACTAACATGGTTCCTACATTAGCGTTGTAGATTGTATGCAAGATGAAGCCTTGAAATTAGAAATGCGGTGTTGCTTGTAGCCAAAAGTTTAACCAGAGTCTGAGGATCACGCTAGTTTTGGTGGTCAGTTATTGAAAAGAAAACGCTTATTTCAAGTGAAATTCGTGAAGGTAGTTGTGTACATTTGCATATTTTATACTTTGTACAAATTCAAGCTTACCTCATCAGTGCTGTGTACTAATAAAATGGCCAGACTAAGCTTGGGTCAACTAGGGAAGCGTGCTTGGGACGCTTTAGTGTGCGTATTGGCTAGTTTAGAGCGAGTTGTAGCTCACAGTTTGTGATGCTAAATCACTCTGCACTTTATGCAGATTTTATGGTCAGGTTTTTGTTGTTGTTTTGTATTTATTTTTTTTCCACATTGGTGTAGATAAGAGATTTATTTATTTTCATATTTTTGTTCATTCACTGTATTTATCTTTTGATTTTGCATGTAGCAAAACTGCGTCTCATTATCTGGCTGCTGCATTATGGAGTCTGAGGCTACACTGAAATGTAATCCATTGTGATAGACAGATATATAAACACTGATTCAATGTTTCATTGATGGATTAGATTGATTAGAATTTGTATCAATGTTAGTTTATGTTGGCTCACATGGGAGATCTTGCTTTGAGTAGAAGAGGCCCGTTGAATAGCTACTTAGATTGTTACTAATTGTTTTACTGGTTTAATCTCACAGCCTTTAATAGGCTAGAAGTAGATCCAGTCTAGTTTGGGCAGATGGTCTACTTTTGTCCAATAAGAAGGGTTCATTATTTAGTCAATTTCTTAACACAAAGCCTGTGGTACTTGATACCTAAAGCCAGGAACAAGGTCTTATTTTCTTCTACATCCAAACGTTTTCAGGCTTTGTGGGTTCTGCTGCAATATGACATTTTGGGTTTGGTCTTTGTGCACAGATGTTGGTGAAAGTGGCAGTTGCCAGTGATGAAATGGCTGGTTGGATAATGTGAAAATTGGATCATATTTGGGAGTAAAAGAAAATGAATGTTGGAAAAATAGAAGAATTGATTTGTATGTGCTCCACCCACTAATGTGTTCCTTTGTAGCACTGGTTGCAAGTTTGGACGAGCTTTGTTTGGAGTCACCACATAATGCTCTGTTTGCAGTAAATGCGTAGCTACCGAGCTGGACTGTGGTGTCGTAGCTGATTGAATCTAAGCAGGCTGGAAACAACAATGCCAAATTTTCTAATGCTAACTTGAATACAAACCAAAATACTCCATTGATTATTGATTGATTATTCCTAACAGGCAATTTATTGACATGTACACATGCATTTTTTTTTCTTGTCTGTTTTTACTTTTACTTTTCAGTAATGGATTTTCATGATATTTTGATTTATTGTATCAATATAATGACTAGGGGTGTAACAGTGCATGGTGACATTGTGATAACGAGAATGGACATTCTATTTATTATGGTATTGAATGCAGTTATACTGGTTGGATACAGAAGTTTGCAAACAACCAGCACCAAACAACCCATACCAGCATGTTCAAGTAGCAAATCCAGTATCAAAAATCAAATCATGGGCCGAGTGTATTGTTACACCCCTAATAATGACTTATTTTCTTGTGTTTGTGTAGAAATAACAACTTAAGAAACTTAGAACTTGGAAAGTTTGACTTTTTAAATTTCTGGTTGATGTCAACATTGTTACTTGTATTGAAATTCTGACCTAATATATCAAAATAATGACATTTTCTCACAAACCTAACCCACCCTGAAGAAATAACTTAGTATGTTTACATAACCAGCTGTTAAATTGTGAGTAAGGAACTATTATTATTTTATTTATTTATTTGGATAAGTTGTTGTTGTTGTTGTTGTTATTATTATTATTGTTATTATTATTATTATTATTATTATTATTATTATTATTATTTATTTCAGTACAGTCAGAATTTCGAGGGAGGAAATAATCCTTATTTTAACATAGTAAGCCAGTAGGTGATTGTCATTATTAAATCAGACCTTCATGAAGTAATCATTGAGTCATTATATCACCTTAATAATTCAAAATCAAGAGAAAAGTTATTATTTTGAGAATTAAAAAGTCAAACTTGCAAAATAAGTCAAAATTTGAATATATTGCTTTGATATATTGAGAAACACAAAGGGGGAGGAGTCCCCCCACCCTTCCCTTCTTCTATGTGGTGGAAATGGGCTTCCTTATCCAGCCTCGCCACAGGAAAGAACACGTTTGTGGGTGGAGGATTGATGGGTGCGTTAATAACTGTTATTCCATTGTTCAGAAGCTGGTGTTGTGATGCCTGAACATGTAGGGAGTAAACAGTGGACTGTCTGAGAGAAAAATGGGTGGATTGTAAGTTATGTTGGGTTGAGTTGCACCAAAACATACGGTGGGTGTTTGGCGTTCCTTGTTTCAATGCGTCTTTTTAGAAGTGACCACTAGGGCTGACTTTCTGTTTCCAAATTGTAGGCAGGTCACAACTATAGCACAATCCTGCTGGAGTGGTCAAACAACCTGTTTTTTTAAAGGACTGAGATGTTATTTATTCTGGATAAACATACCTCAGAATCCTCCTTCACAGCCACACTCAACATTCCTGAAAATCCTTCAGGCTTCCCGTCCTGCATCATGTGAATGGAACGTAAACATGGGAATGTAAGTTAAAGGCAATAAGAAGTTAAGATTGGGTACATTGTTCATGCTCATGCTTTTGGAAAGCAGTGGCTGTAAACTTACTTTTTTTGTTGTTGTTGAAAAATGTAAAGAAATGTTAAATGCTTTGATGAGAAATGCTGGCTTGCAAATTGTTCTTTTCCAAAATTTGCTGCTTGAATTGCCTGTAAAGCAGCGCTCACGCACATTCCAGCCTGGCATCTTACCAATCTGTCCCTGATCACATCCGTCCATTGGTTTATGACCACTTTATTATATTTTTTAAGTCTATAAAGACTGTAAAAGTTACTGTTTTGGACACTTTTTTTTTTATTCATGTTCTTGATAAATGGTTCTAAAATCGAACATGAAATCTGTTACATGGTGCTAAGGTTCATAGACCCTTTGTAGTTAAATGCCATAGAAATGCCTTTTTAAAAGATCTACAGCATGTGAGGATTATTACAGTGGCATGAGCAGAGACTAACACTTGCTTAGGGTTTTAAATAGCCTATTAAAAAGATTTGCAACAATCAACAAGTGTGTTGTGTCTTCATTTCAGAGTCTACTTTAGAACTGCAAACGAGGGCGAATTCAGCAAAAGTGGGACACGTTGGTAAATGCACCAGGAGACCCTTGTAATAGCCATGTGCTTAAATATCTTTGGTGTTTTTGTGAATTGTTGAAACCTCTTAAAAGTCAACGTGTTCTAATCAAATACTACAGACTACTGTCTTTTTTCAAGTAAAGCAACACAGAGCTTTAAAGCCTATAAGAAACTTATTCATGGTCTATTAGCAGTGCAATGAAATCTTGTGTAGAGCAACAAAACATTTTATCATATTTTGTTGAATGAATAACAATCATGAACTGAACTGGATTAATATTTTTTTTTTATATATACATACTATACATGCATACCTTATATGGTGTAGTCTGTTATGATATATCTGGGTTTAACTGTTACAGGCCGTGGTGGTCATCACATACTGGCTCTTAAAATTGAGATGATTAAATAATTTTACTATGGTTTTTAAAGGCGTTCCCATTTCTCCTAACATGTTTAGCAAAAGTGGAACAGGATAAAGCCCACTTTGTCAAATAATTATAAAACGGAGAGTTCCAGTCTTAAAATTTGTTTGGCTGAGCGGTTGTAAAATACACACGTCTATGACCGCCTCAGTCACAAAAACTGAATTATTAACGCACCAAGTCACTGTAAAAAAGTCATTGTGCTTTTAATGGATTGACTGTAATGCTACACATTGTAATCTTGAGCACACAAAGCTGAATCCCAAATTACCCTTTGTTTTACATATTATTCACTGTTTTAAGTGCAGAAGCCAGTATTTTAATAGTGCACTACGTAGGGTGCAAGGAGCGATTTGAGCCCCAGCATGGGAAAAGGGATGTACAACATGGTTAGCTTGGTGCTAAATAAGACTGGAAATCGCATAGAGGCGCTGAAATGAACACTGTCATCACAGTGGAAATTTGGTGAGCAAAACGTTTGCTTGGTAACAGTAACATACATACAAGGGAACTATATTTCTTGGCAGAATAATTATCTTGATTATTATTAATAAAATATATATATTTTTGTGTATTTTATGATGTTATCTGCAGCTTTGCATCGTGCCTAATAACACCATTGCCTGTGATAAAAGCACTGTAATGCACAGCCTCTCGTGGCTTATTACTTTCTGTTCTTTTCATTGTTCAACCAAACATCTTTAACTGCAAAGGAAGCTTTTTCTGTTTGATTTCTTCTCTTTCTACACATTTATATGTAAAGAAAGTATTCAGATCAGTCGTTCCACTGAATTCATCCAACTGGTGCACGTCCACTCACACAAATGTAATATATGAATCTGTCTAAAGGAAGACAAGGGGGTATTACACAAAGCAGGATTGCTCAGCTAAGCTGAATAACTCCTGCTCTCAGACTGTACAGGCTCCTGCTTTGTGTGTTCAGTCCACAGTGTCATTTTGTTGATGACAGCACTTAAAGGCCAGATATCATATGAAGTTATACCCCCCAACAACTGGGCAGCAAGTAGTCCTGTACTTCATACTTCATTTACTTCAATGGGCCTGACTGTGGTGGTGCCCCCTTGTGGTAAATTCGAAATAAAGTAATGACTGGAGAAGGCAGATGTAGTTTTCTCAAATTAAAGAAGAAAAAACAAAATTACAATCACTTTTATTAATCTAATTTACAGCAGTTTAAATATTAATCATGTTTACAATTCAAATAAGGAAACAGAACTGTTAACAATGATTCATAATTAATTACAGGAGAAAAAAATGCAAGGATATAGTTTATGGTAGAACAAAGTTCTACCAAAGTGCTGGAAGCCTTTACAGACACAGTAATGAGACATTATAGATAAAAACTATATGCTGTTCATTGACTTAAAATAACACTCGGTTCTCTTTACTGTATTGTGATAATGTGTCTGAATATCGTTGCTGCCCAAAGAAATCTCCAAAATGGCAACTTCACAAGAGAGAGCAAAACATTCAGAACTTTTAATATAAGTCAATGTGAAGACATTTTCTCCAAGTGATTTTGGAGCATTTCTATTGATCCAATCATGAAATCTTCATACTACACTGAAGGCAGCTGAAAAAAAATAAGAAAAATTGAAGATTTTGAAGATTTTTTTTTGGACAGCTTCGATATACAGTACTTTACTGGACAGTGACACAGTTTTTGTTGTCTTGTCGCTGTAGTCCAACACATTGTAAGATGACTGAGGTTAAAGATTAATTCAGGGGTGTTTGCCATCTGGTGACCTACAGGCACTACAGCCCTTTTTACACACCTCCTATTCCAGGGGACCACAGCTAAGCATCATTTGACCCAAACTTTTGCATTTGACTGTACCGATAGTAACTATGGGTGGCAGGACTTTTGCAAAACGGTCAACTGGACAGTTGGTCAATGTGTATGTTGTTGCATCCTAAGTTCACACACAAACGAATAAATTAAGAATAAAATCAAAGACTCAAAGCTGTGTCACTGTCCAGCTGCTTATGCATGACTGTAAATGTATATACTGTACAGATGTAGCAAATGGACTCTAAACCAGTGTTTTTAGTCTAGTGCTGGACTGACTCAGCATCACGATAATAAAATCAAAGAGCAAACAGTATTAAAATGTCAAAATCTCAGTCTTGTCATTAGAACGCTTCTTCTGAGTTTATGCAGTTATTGGATGCTTCTGTTCCATAAAATAATGTACATTTTAGATAATCAATTATGGTTTACAATAGCTAACTCACATACTCACACACACACACACACAAAACATACACAGAATACACACTCTTTCTCTTCTCCATCCACTTCAGCATGTGTACTATGGGCCATGACAACAAGATCTTCAAACATTATTAGGTGTGCATTAGACTACATTACCGATGGAGGAGACTCATAGGCTCCAGTTCTGAATCTTCCTCTCTCTCCATCTGTCAACCTAGAAAGCTTTGTTTGTCCAGTTCTTTGCTTAGTCTTCATGTCCAGAGCAATAAAAGTTTTATATATATTTCTGCGATAACAACATTAATGTCTCTACATTCAACAAGTATAAAGGTTAAAACACCAGGGAGTTTCCGTCTGATAATGTAAAATAAATGCACTTTGGAACACTGAAAAATATGAGTGAAAATCATTGTAGGCCTCTTGATGCAATATTATCACAATACTTGATCCATGATACAGCTCTGTTATGATATTTAAAGATTTCTGTTGAGAACTGCAATGAATAGTGATTTGACTTTTGACTGCAAACTATTCCTCAAAAAAGACCTTTTTTGTGTTTTATCCAATGAATTTAAACTTCATCCCACTTCAGTCTCTTTTACTGAAGCAAAACAGAACTGTAAAGTAGACATTATTATTATACTATATGAAAACAATATCATATTTCGCAGATGCTTTTTTATGAAGCTGATGGCCACTTTCAAAACAGGCTTTATCCTTACGTATTTAGAATCACTTCTATCTAAAGCAACCTACAATAGTCACCTTATTGGAGTTGACAGGTTCTGATTGCTGTCTGAGCAGGGGACCAAACCCCGTTCTCCTGTGTGTGGGGTGAACAGGTTATCCACTATACAATTCAAACTCAGTCTCACCAGAAGGAAAAGGTGCCATCATGTAGATCAAGAAAGAAATGCACCTTAGTAATCTTAGGCTGGCTTTACACTGTGAAATTTTCTTGCAACTTTAATTGCTTGAAATTTACATTAAACTAAATTTCAATTGCACTGCACAATGTAAAGCGCCCTGCAATTCACTTGAAACTCAGCTGCAACAGTTGCAAGCATCATGAAACAAGTTGCCAATCAAAGCAGTGATAACATGATCATATCAAAGAACATAATTCTAAATGGATTAATGGGCCAGATAATAAAACAAAAGATTATTGGATACCTGTACTACTTGTACTAGTACATATACTATGTTTATTGGATAATTGAAAAGGAGACCCTCCTTACTGAATTTCATGTAAGGCTGGTACCTTTTTATTTTGTTGGATTCCTGATTCATGACAACAAATTTGAGTTTCTCAATGCTAACGTTTCTTTAACCAGCTGAATTAAGAAGCCAGCTAATGCTAACAGCTGTTTAAATGGCTGTTGGTGCCAGTTTGTCACTATTCTTTAGTCTGCTGTTATCAGAATCTACATAGCTAGATTACTATTTTCTCCTCTCGTTTTGGCCCTAATTTCCATTGGGAATCAAATGATTTATGAGCATTATTACATAAGAGGAGACAGAGATACACTCCTAGATCAACTTGCAGCGCTTCTAGGACAAAATGAAAATTATTCATTTGATTGTTTTTTAAAATGCTTCATGTCAAGTTGCACAAAACTTATGTTGCATGTATTTCACAACATGCAACTAGTTGCTTGAAAGTTTCACCATGTAAACCCTGCCCAAGTCTAATAATAGGCTTCATACGCATTCACTGATACATGGGCTTCCTTGTGTTGATACTATTTTTAAACTCCAAATATTATAATATTATACTGCATTGAGTATTTCTCCCACTACTATTAAAGGACATTAAGTGTCAGTGCATGTCAGCAATTTATGCAGTACATCAACATGTAGGTCCCTGAAACATTTCTGCAGACATATTTCCTCTTTTTTTTCAAAGCACCTTAGAATGCTAAGACCGCTGGTCAAAGGTTCAGCTCCCTCCAGTCTATATGATTTTTATCATTACAATATTAGAAGCAAACACTAATCTTACTGATACCTCTCTGAAATGAACAAATACAGAACACTGTGTGAATACGCTGACAGTAACAAGACAGAGATATACACTGCCAGCTGTTACACATCTAAGCAAGTTTTTCTCACCGATTTTTGGAATACAGCACCATCCTTAAAAACACATCTATGTTAACCCATAAAATCAAAAGTCAGCTAAAGGCCCACTTTTCTTGCAACTACAACATCACTGTAACATACTTACAATGCATGTGGAACCACCATAAGTAGTGCCAAAAGAAGGTTT